CCCCCATGAACTCTCTGAGGAGAGCAAACTTCCTATCCTATTAGCTCCTAGTGGTATGTAAATTCTCTGTACAAGCATCCCTTAGATTAAACAGTGCCAGTCTGTATCTGAATGGGCCCGATACGATCTTTATTAAAACACATCCATCCAGATACAGTTTCAGGTTGGTAATGGCTTGTAAGATATACATGAGCCTACACACGGAGTTTGCACTGCTTGGCGCCTTGCGGTACGAAGTCCATGTGGTACTATGCTGCTATATGTGGATAAAGGCCCGCATTGAATGCCGTGGTGGTATACACGCCGGTCTATAAGCGCAGATCTGCCATCTCATCCATTACCGAGCTGAGTACTGTAATACTTACATTGTACATGCGCATGGCCCAATTGCAGCCTTCAGAGCTTTAATTAAGCCACACTAGAGACATATGAATAATCAGCCTGTATTCATTTAGTTCACACCTTTATTTCAAAAGGAAAAAAACTTTATGAAGTTCAAATTTAATTTGTTAGCTATGTAAAGTATAGCTCCCGACTCTCACTCATTTGAAGACCAGATATCTCTGTCCCTCACAGAGCCTCACTTGTCCCTCTTTTTGGCCTGATATGTACATTTCTAAACAAAATGTATTATTTTATTACCAAAGGTGTTCTGCTGCTCTAAGCTTTTTATCTAACCTCTATATTACTGCATTTGTTGTATTGAAAAGCAAATAAAAGGAGAAATAGAGGTAAAAAAAAGCACTTGTGCTGTTTAGCCAATCATTTTCTACATATTATATCTTTGAAGTTCATGTAACTGGAGCTGTGGCAGGGACATGTCTATTGTCTGCATACTGTACTGTATTTGAGAAAGTTGGGAGGTATGATGTAAAAATCATCTAAATCTACTGATGAATTTAAAACTACCCTTTCAACAGACTGACAAGATTGACCGTTGGAGCAGGGACCGGTCTAGAAGCAGGAAGGAGCCAAGGATTGAATATGTAAATTGTCCTTATTGTTCCCATACACTTAAATGAGCAAATAACCCTTACAGTGTGGGCAAAGCCCTACTGCAAGGGATAATTTTTTAGTTGCCTGGAGTTGAGCTTTAGGTTTACTTTAACCCAACTACAAAGGGGTCAAGGTTTTTCTCATTTCCACCATCTTAACTTGTACCATTAGTCAATGGTGTTCCTTCGTAAGCACAGCACTATAGCAGGAACATGCATATCTGTATGCATTACAGCATTCCATGCATTCTGGCCTAACTTCATATGGTTGCTCCAGGAGGTCATAGCAAAGCAGAATTTACATGAAGTGCCCCTTGATGGTCTTGTGGTTGAGCTAGTAATTGGAAAAACCATTGCTGGTCTATAAGCCCAAGGTGCTGTGGCACAGCCCAACAAAAAATAGACTATTGATGAAAAGAATACTACAGGTGTAAGACTAAAAGTTTTTGAGTGGCTTTATAAACCCCAGGTATCTTAATTTTTAATCCAAGTAACCCCAAAGAAGAAAAGGCCCACAGGTTGAGACCCGAGTGACCTAAAGGCCCATGGACTTTTGCAATAAACGTAAAGGTAGTTTTGGCAGTTGGAGATAGCAGAGCAGTTGTGTATTCACTTCTTGTGCTGCCCTAGGCAATACAAGAATCAGGTGCCCCCCCATGAGCACCCAAACACCACCCTGAGCCACCTGCTGCCCCCCCCCCCCAGGCCGCTGACATCCAATCACCCTCTATTGGGTGTGAAGTCAGTTCTGAGTGTGCCTTCAGGTGTGGAGTCAGCTGTGAGTGTTGCCTGGGGTGCTGTGGACTGCAGTAACACCTCCAGTGGAAGCTCTGCCCGCCGCCACCCCCCAGCCACCACTGCCCCCCCCCCCACACCCCCTCTGTCACCAACAACCTCCGCCACCCATCACGACTGTCACCCGATCACAAGATCTAACCTGCAGCCTGCCATCCACCCACACAGCCTTCTCAACAAGTCCCTGTCCCTCCTGCCACTTCTTCCAGGGGGTGGGCCAGGGGACAGGCCAGAGGACCCCCCTAAAAATTGCCACCCCAGGCAAACGCTTTTTATGCCTCGCAGTAAATACACCGCTGGGTAAGAGCGGTGCTTTAATATCCACGTTCTGCTACTTCTTGGTACAGTTAAGAGCTGGTCAACCCCCACTTTCTTTATTGTCTTTGAAGAATTGTTTGCTAGTTTTTTTGTAATTTACCTTTAGGTACAACAGATAAAGTAGTTTTTAGTGTCAGTAATTGTTATCTGAGAGTTATTTCTCATCTAATGCAAACTTTTGGTAAGAAACCAATTAACAGAAAATATTCCATTTCTATTATTACACCACACATCAGCCAAAGCATACTCTGTTCTGTACATTTCTTGTTCTGCATTAGGGTCAAATAGCAGCTTGTCTCCTTACTAGGAACATTGATGATGAGTATAATTAAACACTAATTATAGTCAGTGAATTTGTATAATGATGATTACAATTTCATTATGAAAATAAGATAGCACATCTACTAGCAGAAAGTTAATCTATAAAGTTAACATCAAGCACCACCAAATGGAGGTCTCCTTCACTCTTTGGTCAAGTGTGTACACCACTCAGCTATGGCTGGCTCATTAAAATTGAATGAGTAAAAGTGTAGGTGTTTCTATATTTCGTTCCATTCCATAGGGCAGTTAAAGTGGACCTAGCATCAAATATTTTTTTTTTAATGTTAAAGTGGTAGTAAAACCCACTTGGTTATTTTTTACCTACAGGTAATCTTATAATAACACCTACCTGTAGGTACAATTAATATCTCCTAAACGTGCATTGTTTAGGAGATGTTCAGGTTTTTTTTCTGAAGGAACGGCATACCCGTGCCATACCTTCAGAGCACTGTGCCGTGGCCCAAGACTCCTTTGTGCATGCGCGGAAGTGATGTCATCGTGGCTCTGCCAATCAGATAGCTAGAACTCACAACGCTGAAGGAAGACTGGGTGAAGATGGAAGCCTTTACAGTGGTGACAGCGTGCCGCTGGAGGGCTTCATTTTAAGGTAAGTTTTACCAGGGGTGTACTGACCATTTGGAAACTAGGGTCACCGCCTGAGGGCCCGGGGTCAGTAGGGGGCCCCATGAGATGACCCTGGTACCTTTTTCATAGGCTTTTTGAGTTTGGGCAAGGACACAGTGGCCCCATGATCCCCTATTGACCGGGGGCCCCATGAGTTGTCAGTCCGCCCCTGAGTTTTACATAATGTGCTAGCATGCGATGCATATTATGCCATTGCCTTGCAGGGGATGTTTTTTCTTTTTTATGCGGTTTACTACCGTTTTAAGTGGATGCATGCTAAGTTATGTGTAATGGTGGCGGGTTTTTATTAACTCTCTCAGAGATCACAGTGCTCCCCCTGAAAATTCCTTCATCTTTTTTTTTTTCTCTCCAGTATGATGTTCTTTGTTATTATCCAGAGTGATCATCTTCTTTCTGGACTGAGATAAATAGCTCATAGATGACACAGTAATGTAAATCATGGTGCCTGTTCACAGATATATGTGGCAAATCGTCTCCTGCTGCAGCCTTTTATCTTAGGCTTTACACAAATATAATTTTTGAAGGCTAATCACTAGAAGATGAGACTGAAGAAATGCTTCCTACTGCCTGCAGCAGACTATCGACGCCATCCCAGTTAAGCTAAATTCACTTGATTAGAGCTCAAGGTCTGTTTATTAATGATAAAAGTTACAGCTTGGAAAGGTATATTGTTGCTGTATATTATAGCATATTTTAACAATTTATTACTATAGGCTTAAAGTTACTGAAAGGTCCATTTTAAGAGAATGCAAAAGAAAAGCAGTTGGTTGTTATTGATAGCAGCAACTACTGTTATAACTGTCGCAGCTCAGCTCCACAGTGCTGAAGATATTTTTCTTTAATGTAATGTTCACTGACAGTAGAACCTTCATTTGTAAAATACTGTGCTAGGCTGTATCCAACATATCTTTCTGGGACCAATACACATGCATGTAAAATCAATGTCACTTTGATATGGCAGCAGTTTCATACCATTTTAAAATTTTGGGTTAACATTAGAACACTAATACATGGAAAATCTTCCAATGGAGACACTAGTTCTGGTGACCCCGGTGACAACCCAGGATGTCCTCACTTTGGGAGGATTTTCTCTTACTTCTTGTTTTGGCTATGGGACAGGAATTGAAGGGACATCTCTGCAATGGGACACAGAAGCAAACATTTTTCTATTATTCTATCCAAAATGCCAATGAGGAGAGAAATCACCTCTAGTTCTTTAGTTAAATTTTAAGGGTGTGATGTTAAAGCAGGTGTTTATTGGGGTAAAGCTAAATGTTCTACTCACATTTGGTTATGCATACTCTATGTTTCCTTTCTGGTCTAAAAACATATTTTTGGGCCTCCTACCTACGTTTTAAAGAAAGTATACTGAGGAATTATAGAGACTGCTGTTGCAGACTCCTGCTTCTGAAAATACTATTTGGCTGTAATGCTGACCTAACTGTTTCTGTACTTGCTAAGTCACTAACCTGTAAGAATGTATATTAGGAGCTTGGACTTTGGTCATTGCCTATTTGCCCTATGTCAGGGTCTCAGAGAGTATAGAAGGAGGTCGGCAAGGTGCCTCTATTTCTCTAAGCACATATTTCCTTTATAGTAGATGTAAACCCTAAGTGAATGACATTTAGTTTGTTAAAGTATTTTGCATCACAATAATTTCCATCTGTTCTGCTGATCTCCTACAGCCACTTTCTATCAACATGCAATGGCTACATGCAGGGGCGGACTGGCAACTCATGGGGCCCCCGGGCAATAGGGGATCATGGGGCCTGTGTCCTTGCCCAAACTCAAAAAAGCCTATGAAAAAGGTACCAGGGGCATCTCATGGGGTCCCCTACTGACCCCGGGCCCTCGGGCAGTGCCAGAGTTTCCAAATGGTCAGTCCGCCCCTGGCTACATGGTGTTTCTAAAGCTGGGATTTTTAATGGCAACAATAGTGGACCATGTCCTTGTAATGTGTATTGAAATGGTCATCTATAGACTATGCCACAGTGTGCCAATGTAGGAACACAACTGGAAGACCTTAAACCATCAAGGCAGGGTCACTAGATATTATTTTAACAAAAGATGCAGACTTTGAAATATAGCAAACATAAAAATTACAATAATATTTTAAAGCTTATATGAGATCACAGAGACTGGGTTTACATATATTTTAATAAGAGATAAAGACTTTCCAGCAGTAACACATGCCAGGGAGAACTGGATTATTGGAGGCCTAGCATTGGAAAATCAGCTCTTTTGAACTGCTCTGTTTGAAAAAAGTGTTGAAGGTTCCTTGGATTGAAAGGAGAACAAATCAGTCATTACTCAAGGAAATAAAAACTGACTACTCGCTGGGCAGACTGACACTGAAACCAAAGTGCAAATATTTTAGCCAAGCAATGTAAAGACAGCTCTCACTGGTTACTCTGGGAAAGTGAAAAGCAGAATAGGGTCAACGGGCCTTTATGTGGATGAAAACATTGCCTCGATACTGAATATAGATCTGCAAGATCTCATAGAAACAATTATGACAGACAGGTCTAGCATAACAAAGTCCACCAGGTCCCAAAGAGGCGCACCCAACTCAACACGTATCCACATGTAACCTTCCCTAGGAGCGTTTGTGTATTTGTTTATAACATACCTTCCAACCTTCAAAAATGAGGAAAAAATGGGACCATTTTCAAATGTGGCCATTTGAAGACATGCTATACACACTGTTGCCAACACCTGTTCTTTTGGGAGCTGAAAGACAAGGCTGCATGTGAATGGTTCAACATTTGTTGTTTATACTGCAGACTAAGAGCTCCTGTGCCTGAGTGCCAAAAGGAAATGCTTGACATGACGTCTACTTAATGAGCTCTGAATGTTCCCTGGCCCCTTGTGTATGAGACATGTTTTCAGAGGTATGACTCAATACACACAAGCATTTAGCTAGAAGCTACATGGGCTTTGCCATGACAAAATTGGTCTGGGATCCAACATTCCCTCATGCTAACGAGGCATCCCCCCAACTATATATATATATATATATATATATATATATATATATATATATATACAGTCTAGCACATGAGAAGGGATACATATCTTTATACAGTGCAACAATCATTAGTAAGAGAAGTCAAATATTTAACGAATTAAATATATATCAATGCAATTTCAAAATTAATCTACAATACTCCTAAATCTGAAGCTTTCATTAAAATAATACCCATTGACCCAGCCCATGATGTACTGTAGTTTTTCAGTCTATAAGGTGACAACACTCTGTCTTCCAGCAATGATTCTGAGTTTTCCAATGGCGACTACAAGTGTTCATGTTTGCAGATGTGACTATGATTTCTCTTCTGGCCACAGAATAATTCTCTAACTTAACCACTTGCCACCACTTACCACTTCACTAACTTCACCACTTACCATCACCACCTGGGTCACATCTTCAGTGTGCTCAAGCTTCCATGTAGCACTTAAAGGGCTCTCTGAGTGAGACTGTGGAAAATGTAACTCCTTCAGAAGACACGCTTCATCTGCATGATGAACCAGCATTTGCCTTTCAGCCTCCAGACCTACCCACATCCTCCTCCTGGAGTCCAGGCCCTTTGACCCCTGTAACCACATGGAAGACCCAAGGGTAGGAAGAGGCATCAACCTTTCTTGGTGTAACCACAGGTTCTTAGATAATTTTATAGCTGGTATAACTGGACACACTCACTTGTCTGGATGCAATAAACCTTTTACTGGAACCCTTTTAATGCATAAGCATGACAGGAGGTTCTCAGATTTGGCAAAAGAACAGGTATGTTGTAACTTGGATGTGCACCAATAACTTTCATAGTCAATCTCTAACAGTAATGTTGCAAACTCACAGAAATTTGCGGACACATCCAGTGCTCTGCATACAGATGCACTCTCACTTGTTCAGCAGTACTTAGTCTCCATGGAGAGCTAGATATAGCCTCTATCCACTCTGAAGTAGATTGAATTATGATCATTGAACTGTTAAAGGTTCACATTGCAGTTATAAATGATTTTTTTTTGTTAGTTATAATTTAATATAGACTGTGGGCTGGTTAGGGAGACTTCTAGTTTCATTGTAGAACTGAGGATAGGTATTATTTTGACTCTGCTCTGCCATTTATCTGTCTGCCTCCTCTGTTTGGCCCAGATTGTCTGCCAGTAGTCTGTATAAATTAAATTTGCCAATAGGGATATGATCTGGGCATGCCCATTACCACTGGGTGCCTCTGCCTCTCCGTCTTGTCTAGTTTGCTCCAGCCTTTGGTTGGCAGCTGGAATACTTGTCTTCTTTTTTTTTTTTTTTGTACATCTCTGCTGCAGACCTTAGCTTGGCATTTTGACCCACTTTGGGTTTGGTGTTAGATTGGCAGTCAGTCTTTTGCGAAATTGGTATAGTAAAGGCAACAGCCAAAGAGAAAGGATGTCTGGATGCCCCACACAACTGTAGAAATCATATTTATTTAGAAAATTGCCAAAAAGGGTAAAAACATCAAGGGAAATAAGAACAGAGGAGCAGGGAACCCCGCTGACATCTTATACACTGCAGTAGTGCTTACTCTGAGCATGCTAAGAGTAAGCATTAGTGCATCATGAAACACATTCCTGGGTTACCCTGCTTCTCCTTTGATGTTTTGACCTTGTTTGGTGATTTTCTAAATAAAGGTGATTTTTACATTTGTGCAGCTGTCCAGACTTCTTTTTTCATCATCAGCTGTGACCTGGACTGGCACCTGTTCAGTACTATCACAGCAGTGTATGTCTGGCAGACCTGTAGTGGTGTTTTCTTTCGTATTCAGTTAAAAGCAACAGCTAATGGCTTAATTTGATAAAGTGTTCCAATGGTGTGTGAAATATAGAATATAAGAGGGACATTCCAGGTGTAAGCTGTGGCTGCTAGTCCAGCCAGTTCTTAATCGACAGCCGAGTATTTACATGCAGTTTAAAAGCGCCTGGATCAGCCAAGATTAATCATCATATATTTGAAAGCTTATCACAATGGTGAGTTTCTTCTTCTTTTGGTGAATGTAGATGTATACTATATAATTAATTTAATTTCTAATAAAGGAGAAGTATAGACAAAGCTCCTTTGACTATTCTTCTCCTGAGGATCACAGGAATGCAGGTCATTCTGCACTCTTGTGACCGATTTTCAGCAGACAGTGGGCTGAAGCCCGCTGTTGGATGATGTCAAAGAGCCGCTCCATGATCTGAAGGATCCTTACCATATGCTTAAAGTCTGGACTTGGAATCTGCCTCAGCTTCTCAGCAATCTGCTAAAAGCCTGAACCAGCTGTTCCTGCACCCCCAACAGCCTAGTGCTCCAGTGAGCACTGGATGGGCAGAGCAGAAAACCGGTGACTGACAGCCACCAGCTCTCTGCTAACAGAACACTGAGAACTGAGCAATCAGTGGTCTTTGATTGTTCAGTCTTCAGTCTTAGAGTCAGTGGGGGACAGATGCAGCATCAGATCGATGCTGCATCCACCTAGGTGAGTATATTTTTTTCTTTTTAGTGAGCCCATACTTCTCTTTTAACTCCTGAAGAGGAAGTGATGCACAGTATGTTCCAAAACACTTGTGTTTTGATCTGATTTGATTAAATTTGGAGTTTTATATTTATGGATTTTACTGAGATTGACTGTGTATGTTCAATTCCCTGTAGATACACATTATCAAAAAGTGCTTGAGCTGAGTTTATTTATGCCTGGCATTAGGATCCTGTCCTTTCCTGTGGGTATGTTTTACTACTGGTTACAGTTACACTTTGATGGTTTTACCTACTAGCACCCAAAGATTATTGTAAATATACAGTGGAATCTTGATACCCAATTGTATTTGCCAAGATACATAATATTGTGTTTTCTCAGCCACCTGTAAAGGTGAGCATTGTACATTGATTACATTTTTCATCTGAATCCAATGATACTCTTTTTGTTCTTTCTTCCGCTCTGTCAATGGAAAATCTAAACCATACCTGGGAGAAACACATTCAACAGCGCCATGCTTTCCCAGGATGAGGAAACACCAATTCTCTCTCTCACACATGCTGGGAGTTGTTTCATTTTATCACAGGCAAGGAGATGTTGCTTCTTCTATTGCAAAAGCAAACCAAACTTTTCCTCCCAATGTCCCATGTCCTTTCTCTTGCTTGGGGGAAAAATTTAATCAGATACTGTTGCTATGCAAATCCAGGGGAAGACCTCTTGCAAATGTTTCAGCACACACTAAGCAGGCATGCATATAATATTGAAACCAGGACTGTGTGTGCTATATGTCCCCGTCCTTATAAATCGTATAACAAGACTCTTGTTAGTCATGGTCTTTTGTAGACTTTATAGAGACAAACTGAGTATCATCAAAACAGTTCTTTAGTAAATCTCAATAAAAACAATACATCATATGTTAAAATACTCTTTGTTTAGAGGTTCACATCAGGTACAGATTCCAACATAATTAACATGTAGAATGCGTTTTAGGAAGCCTTCTTTAGAATAACATGCAAAAGAATCAATACACTGGAATCCATGGTTGATCTTTAACCATTTCCCTCCTGTCCTATGGCCGAATGGCGGCCGGCAAAAACACTCACCTTTCCGGTGAACGCCATATGGCATCCTTTTGGGCATGCGCAGTTTGCGCACCTGCAGAGCCGCGCAGCGGTGCGATCTGTCACCAGCCTTGTACCTCGGACACGGCCGATGACAGATCTGAGTACCGGCCCCGTTGCCGGTACCATGTGACCTGCTGTGACCAATCACAGCAGGTCACATGACAGTTGTATACAATGGATGGCTTCATTCATGCCATCCATTGAATACTAGTGTGTCTAGCTGTGAATGGTCACAGCGATCACATGCACAAGCTGGTCCAATCACAGCCCAGCTGTGTCATGTGATTAGCCGTGGCCAAATCACAGCTAAGCACAAAGAAAAAAAAAACCCTGAATGTGAATCAATGTCATTGAGGTAAATGCTTGCTTAAAGCAAAGTAATTCTTTGCTATAAGCAAATTGAGTAAAAAAAAAATACAGATCACTTTCCCAAAGAAGTACAATGTTACTATGGTAACATTGTACTACTTTGATCATAGCGAAATATGAAAAACAATCTTAAAAAAAGAAAACAAATTAATAAAAAATAAAAAAAAATAATAAAAAAATTATATATTTTTTTTTTTCATACTGTCACCAGTCAGTGTCCCTGATCACCGCAATGCCAGTTATATGATGACACTGTGCTGCACTGGTGACATTATTTAAAAAAAAATAGTGAAAATATTTTTTTTTAATTCTTTCATTTTCCGAAAAATTATGACAAAAAAAATACAACTTCAAAAAACTCGCCATGCCTCTTATGAAGTACGTCGGACTGTCTGCTCTGCAAAAAGGGGTCATTTGGGGATATCTGTACTGTTCTGACATTCTTGAACCACAAGAAATTAGATTGGCTGTCAGTACTTCAGGATTGATCAATATTCAGATCTATACCATAGTTTGTGAACTCTATAACTTTCCTACAAACTAAAAAATACATCCTAATTTGGGTTATTTTCACCAAAGACATGTAGCAGAATACATCTCGGCCTAAATTTATGAAGAACAATTATTTATTTGCAAACTTTTATAACAGAGACAAAGAAAAATGTGGGTTTTTTTTTCAAACTTTTCGGTCTTTTTTTGTTAATTTAGCAAAAAATGAAAACCCCAGTGGTGATTAAATACCACCAAAAGAAAGCTCTAGTTGTGTGAAGAAAATGATAAAATTTTAGTTTGGGTACAATGTTGTATGACCACGCAATTGTCATTCAAAGTGTGAGAGCGCTGAAACCTGAAAAATGGCCTGGGCAGGAAGGGAGTAAAAGTGCCCGGTACTGAAGAGGTTAAATAGGGATTAAAAAAGCAATGCAATCTGCAGGAATTCACATAATGTAAACGTTTCACATGGAGGTATAGCCTGCTACACCATAATGGGGGCCACTTTCTTTCAGATAAAGACACCTACATACAGTATAGCCAAGGGTCGGAAGATTGTACTCTTTAGATCATCTGCTAATTGGTACCTAAAATCAAGCAATGTAAGATTCAGCATCATTAATGAAGGCCAATATATCGAGATGGTGGTCAACACTTGTGTGTCATAATAGTAACAGGATCTCCCAGTCCATGTCCATCAAAAATCATAGGAACAGATCTATATGTTCTGTGTTTTCCATATCATTCCAGCATGTTAAGCCATGCTGACCACTGGGTTCCAGAGCATTGATATAATAAATAACTGTTTTTATGATACTCAGTTTGACTCTATATAATCCACAAAAAGTCCATGACTACTAATAGAGTCTTGTTATTATACTATGCAGCTATACTACTACCACCACTGTCACTATCAGGAAGCCGGTCTAGAGCAATAATGTCTAGCCAATGCTGGAGAGTGTGCACATAGACAGGATGTTGCTTCAAGGAGATTTTAGGGGACCAGCAGTACTGACATTCAACAAAGGATTTAAAACATATGAAAATACACATTTTATTTTTTTAAAAATATAAATTTTTATAGTACATATTGCACAGAACAAACTAAATGTTACTGAGTTAGGTTTTACATCTCCATCATTACATTTACATGAAGTGCTTGCTGTGAATGTCTGACTAAAGGTATTCGTAAAACAGCAAAGTGTGGTGCTACAACCCCGATATTTCTTATGAGACATAGTAAAATTCTACCTGTGCCAGGACCACAGCTAGACAAGCTGACAAAGTATACATCCAAATAAAGAAAGGTTAGCATTTCCACCCTTATGAGCTTTAGTAGCCAACTACAACTAAGGCTGTAAGGGCGGAAACGCATCAGAATCTGTTGTGTATAGGATCACTTTGTATCTGTATGGGTATGTAATAAAGAACTTTCTTTTATTTGCATTGGATTTTCGGGGCCAACATCTATTCTGATTAAATGTATACCTGAAAATAGTGTGAGTGTGATTTTTTTTTTTCAGGTTTATTACTGAAACATTTTTGTAAGATAAATTTCAGACATAGGAGCTGCTCCTTCTGGAGGCAATTTCAGAAAGTGTAATTAGCATTCTTGCTAAATAGGTATGGGCTAAGGTTCTGAGTTTGGCCCAAACCTGCAGGAAACTGCCAGACGATAGCAGGATGCTAGCCCAACCAGCTGGAATTCCCCACCCCACAGCTACATGTAAAAAAGGGACGGGGACGCTGGGGTTATCACTAAGCTAATATGTGGCCATATTTGGACAAAGTCATTGACTATAGTCATGTAATCATATTAGGTCGGGTATGTCACCAGCATCTTTACCCTTTGTTATGTGTGCCTGTGGGGTGGGGAATTCCAAAGCTGCCGCTGATTGTGCCAGGGGCCTGCTATCATGTGACAGTGTCTAGTGAGTTTGTGCCAAACCTTAGCTCATCCTTATTGCTGAATGACAGCTACTGAGAAATTAAGTTCCAGAAAATCTGTTGTCATTAAAAGTTTTTTTCACAGAAATCTGTCCATAAGTCCATAGGTCCATAGGTAAATATTAAAACATAATAATGCAATTTTCATCAAGCCTACCAATATTACCTACACAGTAACACACACTTTCATATATTGAGTGTGTATGTAAGTGAATAGCTCCAAACCCATGCATCAAAAAATAAAAAGCAGGCTTAGGTAGCTACTCACAACCTACTTCTTTGGAAATCTAATTGACTGTATTTATACAGATGGAAATCAAACTCTGCCTAAATTTAGACTTTAATGGTGTCCCATTTTTTTTTTTTATTTAAGCATTGTGGAATTACACAGGTTTTTCCAAGACCACAATACAAAGCACATAAGAACATCTTCAATACAAAGTACTGATGTAGGGTCCATGAGTCACACTCAAATTGGGGGTTTCCCATTGATTGGAAACAGAGGATTTTATGGGAAAATACAGTATAACTTGAAATGTACATCAAATTACTTTTCATCATAAGGACTCTCATTGTTTGCAAATACAGTATATGGCATATACCGGAAGCCCATAATGTTCAGCACATGTAGTCCAGAGACAAGAGTAATATAATCATGACATGAATATGCACGATGTGTAAGTTTTAACAATGTAAACATCCTTGCTCCCACAATTGGAGGGAACAAGGAAAAATACCTAAACTGGGGGCTAGGGGATTCTAGTTCCCAAATGTAAATGGGAACACTGGGACATGAGTATCTGGTATCCCACAATTTTAAGTGTTTAAAACTCTAAACTCAATAAAAGTAATTTTGACAAATTTTGATTGTAACTTGATGGCTTTGCAGACCATTGCCATGAAAAAAACTCTCTGGTGGTTCAGGTTTTATTTTGACAGATCAATAATAGAAAAATGTCCCTAAAGATCTTGACACTCTGCAATGGTTACATTAACCTCCCTGGAGGTATTCCCGAGTGTAGCTCGGGGTAAAGTTTCAGTACCACAAGAGGTAACCCCGAGCTACACTCGAGCTTACCATGCGGCGCTGCTCCGTGATCCCTCGATCACTTACCTTGTCCTGCACTCCCGCAATGTCCCTCCTGCAGTGTCCCCGGCAATGTAATCCGGCAGATGCCGGCATCTGTCTTCTGGGTTCCGTTCCCTGCGAGCGTCAGGTTGTGCGGGAAATTTGAAAATGACAAAAAGTGACATTCACAAAATCACTATAATCACATAGTATAACATTACTGTATCAAACCATTTCACATACATATTGTCCCGAGTGCTTTGTCCTGTGCCCTGCCTGCATTTTTACCTGGAAACTGAGAAATGTCCATGGTGTCCAAAAAGTGTCCCTTTAGGTCAAAAGCGGTTTTAGACCAGCTAGAGAACAGTGATAATAAATTAGAACTACTTGCAGAATTGATTGCTAATGATTCGTGGGGAAATTCATCATCAGACACTGAAAACGATTTTGCGACTTTGCTCAGTGATGTGCGAACTTGGCGCTATATTTCATATTTCAGTGTTTTTGGTTTGATTATATTATTGAATTAAATTTATTATTATATTATTATTTTGTATGATTATTTATTAAATTATAATTTATGATTTCGTGTTTCAAGTTTTATCCTACCCGGGATGTTTACTAGACTCTTGTTTGGACAGATTTCAGTGCGTTATTCCTAAAAATGACAGGCCTACAATAAAAAAAATACATATTTCCATGCAAAAAAATGTACCGCTTTGAGCACAGAAATACTGACATAATGAGACCGCTAGGGAGGTTAAAAAATAGTCTTGTTTTCCACTTATGTTACACTCTTAGAGGTTCCTATGGACAACTTGCCAGTCTCCTTTAATAGTTCAGTTCAGTTACTTTGTGCCATGATGTGATCATTTTAATAAACGGTTTGGACAGTATTTTGAAAATCCTTGGCATGCTGGTGATATATCTTCTAATCTTTACTAGTTCAGCATGCATCACTATAGCAACTTGTTACATTACAACTTCTGAGTACACTCCGCGTTGCAGGAAAACTGGGCATTTTAAACATTTTAAACTTTTCAAAGGAGACAACTCACAAAATAAAATGCACTTAAATATAAAAAGCATCACGTTTATGAGCTACCATCAATGGGGTGGATTTACTAAAGACAAATAGACTGTGCACTCTGCAAGTGCAGTTGCTCCATAGTGTAGTATTAGAGGTACGCCGGATTCCATCATCCAATCATGTGCAAGCAAAAATGCTGTTCTTTTTATTTCCTTCAATGTCATTGAGTATTCTCTGCAAAGGGAAGCTTCAGTGCTGAAATTTCAAAATCAAAACTGTATGAATTAGTTTCAGCATTTTAGTTTTCCTGCAGTTCTTTTGAAAACTGAGCTAAAAAATACTGTGTAAATACAACAATTTGTATTACTTGAAATTTAGGACTGTGCAAAATCTGGTGCAGCTCTGAATAGAAACCAACCAGCTTCCAAAAAGCTTAATTGAACAAGCTGAGGTTAGAAACTGATTGCTTGTTCAATTAGATATGAATTTGTCACCAGCATTGTCTGTGGTCTTCCTGTGACTGTTCTGTACCCATTATTGAAATGTCATGCTTTGTTATGCAGTGTGTCTCCTTGTCAAGATGGCCATCCTGGTAGAGGCAGGGCTTGCTTCCTCATGTTAGAGTCACCAGCTAAGGAACCAGTGAGTAGAATTGTATTGAGGAGTGGAGAGTACGTTTTGGGTGGTAAATGGATATCAGGTCGGTGATGTAGTTTAGGGCAGTGTTATGAACAGCTTTGTACGTCAATGTTAGTAATTTGAATTTTATGAGTTGGGCAATCGGAAGCCAGTGGAGGGATTGGCAGAGGTGGGTGGCAGATACGGAGCGGTTAGTAAGGTGGATGAGTCTGGCCACTGAATTCAGGATAGACTGAAGCAGGGATAGTCTCTTATGAGGTAGGCCAGTGAGGAGGGAGTTACAGTAGTCAAGTCGTGATATAATAAGGGAGTGAATGAGTTGCTTTGTAGTTTCTGGGGTTAGGAAAGGACATATTTTGGAGATGTTGCGGAGGTGGAGTCTGCATGAATTTGTCAGCGATTGGATCTGGGGCTGGAAAGACAGATTGGAGTCTAGAATGACACCTAGTACTCTGGCTTGCAGGGTGGGGCTGATGGTGGCTTTGTTGGTCTTGATTGGAGAACTCGGGGGGGGCGGGCTGGGGGGAAAACTAGGAGCTCAGGTTTGGAAAGGTTTAATTTGAGGAAGTGGAGTGACATCCAATCTGATATGTCGTTCAGAAGGCTAGTGATTCGGGCGGAGACTGAAGGGGTGAGGCGAGGGGTAGAGAGATTTGTGTGTCATCGGCATAGAGATGGTAGTTGAAGCCATGGGAGTGTATCAGGTGGCCAAGGGAGGAGGTGTAGATGGAGAAGAGAAGGGGCCCGAGGACAGAAACTTGAGAAACCCCAACAGAGAGGGGGAGTGAGGGGGAGGTGGCAGCATTATAGGTAACACTTAAGAAGTGCTGTGATAGATAGGAAGAAAGCCAGGAGAGAGTGGAGTCTCTGAGGCCAAGGAAGTACAGTTTTTTGAGGAGGAGGGAGTGGTTGACCGCGTGGAACGCCGCGGAGAGGTCGAGGAGTAGGAGCACTGAGTAGTGGCCATTAGCTTTGGCGGTTAGCAGGTCGTTGGTGAGTTTGAGTAGGGTGGTTTCGGTGGAGTGTAGGAGACGGAAGCCAGACTGTAAGGGATCAAGGAGGTTGGATGTAAATGGCAGCAGGAATATGGGTCTATGGTTGTTTAGGTCGGTGGGATCCAGGGAGGGTTTTTTAAGTATGGGAGTGATGTGCGGGTGCTTCAGAGGGGAGGGGAATGCGACAGTAGAGAGGGAGAGATTAAAGATGTGAGTGAGGGAGCGTAGGATGGAGGAGGAGAGTGATCGTAGGAGTTGTGTGGGGACAGGGTTAAGGGGGCAGGTGGTAAGGCGCAGTTTAGGGGCAGTGAACTGTTAATTGAATGAAGAATCGCGTTCAGGAGAGGAACATTTTTGCCAAAAAAAAACACAAAATGCGTGCAAATGTGCCTAAGCCCTAGCTGCATTTTCCTCTTGTGTATGTATTCATTTCAATGGCAAGTACTATGGTCAATGAAATGAATAAACGCAAAAGCTCTTAAATCGGCTAAACACGATGGCCAGGAGAGCTTGGCGTTTAAGGGAGCTTCAATGTACAGTGGGGATCGAAAGTTTGGGCACCCCAGCTAAAAATTTGTATTAATGTGCATAAAGAAGCCAAGGAAAGATGGAAAAATCTCCAAAAGGCATCAAATTACAGATTAGACATTCTTATAATATGTCAACAAAAGTTAGATTTTATTTCCATCATTTACACTTTCAAAATAACAGAAAACAAAAAAATGGCGTCTGCAAAAGTTTGGGCACCCTGCAGAGTTAATATCTTGTACTGCCCCCTTTGGCAAGTATCACAGCTTGTAAACGCTTTTTGTAGCCAGCCAAGAGTCTTTCAATTCTTGTTTGAGGTATCTTTGCCCATTCTTCCTTACAAAAGTCTTCCAGTTCATTGAGATTTCTGGGCTGTCTGTCACGCACTGCTCTTTTAAGGTCTATCCATAGATTTTCAATTATGTTGAGGTCAGGAGATTGTGAAGGCCATGGTAAAACCTTCAGTTTACACCTCTTGATGTAATCCCCCGTGGATTTCGAGGTGTGTTTAGGATCATTATCCATTTGTAGAAGCCATCCTCTCTTTAACTTCAGCTTTTTCACAGATGGCATCAAGTTACCATCCAAAATTTGCTGAAATTTTATTGAATCCATTTTCCCTTCTACTCGTGAGATGTTCCCTGTGCCACTGGCTGCAACACAACCCCAAAGCATGATTGATCCAACCCCATGCTTAACAGTTGGACAGAGGTTCTTTTCATTCAATTCTGTGCCCCTTCTTCTCCAAACGTACCTTTTCTCATTCCGGCCAAAAAGTTCAATTTTAACCTCATCGGTCCACAGAACTTGTTTCCAAAATGCATCAGGCTTGTCTATATGTTCATTTGCAAAGTTCAAACGATGATTTTTGTGGTGAGGACGTAGAAGAGCTTTTCTTCTGATGA